ATGTATACATGTACACACACACAAACACACACACACACACACACACACAGAGAAACACACACTTACCTACTATGATCACTCTAGACAATATTTCTTGAACATTTTAGATATCCGTATTGTGTTAAATAACCTAGTCAAGCATGAATATAAAAGAAAAATAGTCCATTTTTTCCAAGGCATTGTAATTAATTATCAAGTGTTCAATTTATTGAATTCAGAATGGTTCAAACCTGATTAAGAATTAAGAGTTAGGGCTGGGAAGGTGGCTCAGTAGTAGAGTGCTTGCAGCACTTGCATGCATGAGGCCCTGGGTTCGATTCCTCAGTACCCCATAAGCAGAAAAAGCAAGAAATGGGGTTTGGCTCAAGTGGTAGTGCATTAGCCTTGAGCTGAAGAGCTGTGGGACAGTGCCCAGGCCCAGAGTTCAGGCCCCATGACCGACAAAGAAAAAAAAAGAAAAAGAAAATGAATTAAGAGTTAAGTGATGGACATTTCCTGTCATATGTAGCTTAATTTACTGTTCATTTCTGACTGAGACTGGTTTTCTAACTTAGTAATGAGACTTTATTTTTAAAAAATAAGTGAAAAATAGTTTTTAAAAAAATAAACAATGTTTTTGCCTGATCTCAAAGTTAAATATAAAAACTGGAAACTCCTTTCTTTTAAACAAATCCTGTTTTTTTTATTTTTTATGAAACATTATATTCATGTAAATGGAACATTTGGACGAGTAAGAAAAGAGGCATGAGGATAAAATGTGCAAATCAGGATGCAGATGCCTCCCCTCTCTAAGGATGAATTCCATGTCTTCTGTAACTGCGTAGTGAAGTTTTGTTAAGGAAACAGAACTAGACTCACTAGTTGTTCCACAGGACTTACACTCAGCATTCCAAATGAAGAAGTAGTAGTTAAGGTTTTGACACCATCCCCCCAATCCAAAACTTTATTACTTTTTTCTTTTTATTGCTTTTTTCCTCTTTGTGATCGTAGTCCTTAAGAGGCTTTTGATAAATTCACAGTGTAGAAAGAGTACAAAACTTCAGAGAAAATAAACATTCGTAATTCCAAGCATAGCTCAAGTTAAAGGCCTTTTTTGTGCCCTAATTTTGTAGCTTTCCCTTGCAACACATTGTGGGTATTTTACCAGTGTCTTTTCTCAAATACACTGTTACATGTTTCTACATCAGGATTATTTTATTTCTTTCTGCAGTACATTTTGGGAAAAGCTTCTTTTAAGACTCACATATTTTTCCTGATTGAAGGCAAATAAATGTACTTTCAAATATCTCCTGTGTGCGAAGTAATTCTGCTGGGTCTGAAGGACACAGCTTAAATTAGATGTGGCCTGTATTCTTGAAAGTATCCCTCTTAGGGCCAAGTTTTGGACCACTGTGTTCATCCTTACTCTTTTCCCATGAAAACTTATTTTCTTACTCCATCCTCTCCATCTGCATCTTCTACCCAGTCAGATCAAATATAAACAGTTTTATGCTATGTATGTTCCTATAAAATGTAGTTTTTAATTCAGTGTAGATTTCATTAATCATTATTCTTTCTTTCCTGAAGATAAATGTTCAGAACACTAAATGTCCTAGAACAAATTTTAGAGAACTCAAAATTGTTGCTTCATGGAATCTTTTTTCCGTTTGTTCTGTACAACAGCTTCCTGTCTCGGGCTGTCCAATTTTCCAGCACTGTCTGGCATTTCCTTTTCAGGATTCTCTTCTCTATATATAATTGTCAAGATAGGAGATTTCTTCCTGTGTCTCTTTTATCTTACTGTTCACCTCTTCAGTTTTGCTGATCCAAATAAACGTATAATATTCTTCAAATTGCTATTAACCCCAGGTCTTTATACCTCTTGAGGACAGTATTTTATAACAGTTAATGGTTTGCATTGACTGACTTGAGAGTCCAACAATAGGTCTTTGTGAAATCCAAGTGCTGCCTTTTGTCCATTCTGGGGAGGCTCTTGAGGACCAGCATCAGTAACCAGTGCCCTCCAAAGAATTTTGTGCTGTCTCCTTCCTTCTTTTTCTTCCTTCTCACCCCAGGAACTTTGTATGTGAAAGAATCTCCAAGTTCACTGTCAGGAGAATGAACCAGCCAGTTTTCCACAACCCATTCTTCTCATCCCCATTTCAGCTGTTTTGCATATGGCATTTAGGAAGATTATTAAACAAAAATGAAATAGATTAAGAAATGAACATAAAAGAATCAATTCTCTTGAACTGTGGTTGCATAATGGAAATCGACTACCATGAATGAACCCGTGCACTGAAGTTATGAACAGCAGAACTAATGCACTGCCATGAGTTCATCTTTATTATTGCATTACACCTGAATCAATTGATAAAGTAGCTTTTTTTTCAAAGAGAGGGATGGCACTTAATTGAATAAAAGTCAATGTAATTATATTAGCAGAGGCCAGCAGTACTGCTGACAGCGGAAAAGGGACACTGTTGAGCAGAGTGCCAGAGCTGGTCTACACATTTCTGCACATCGTTTGGTTGACAGATATTGAGGGCTGGTACATCATCTAATTAGATTACAGATCTCGACTTCTGTAAGTGAGAAGTGAAGAGAAAAAAATCTCTTCCTGGTAACATAGCAGTAGAGATGTGTAAATTCACAAGTCATCTTAGGGGAGAGGTGTCCATCTGGGTGATCAGTATGTCCTTTTGTCAATGTTAATTTATTCTTCCTTATTCAGTGTGTCTTGATGCAACTGCTGTGTGTCTGGCTGCTGTTTTCTCAGCAGTGAATCTAGGAAGTGGTGACTACAGATGTGTGAGAAACAACATTGAGTTCTAGATTGCAGTCAAGGCAAAAATGAAGAAAAGTGGGGAGGGTGTTAAAGATTGTAAAATGGGGAGGGTTAAGCTGCTTATAGTAGGCAGATGGTTTTATTAATGGAGTACTAGTACAGAGTGTAACTCTATTTCCACACTCTTGTTATAACTCGATGGTGCTGTCCCTACATGTCATAGCATAGACTTCTTAGTAAGCATTTCCTGCACTCTGCTTAGCAACCTGCACTTGGAATTATCTGCCATCTGACACCAAGGAAAGGGGGAATGACTGTCAGAGCAGGGACTGACCGTGGGGACCACCTCAGTTTATCATTCACATATCCACACACTGCATGAATCTGTTTGGAGTTCATTTTTGTTTGATGTTGGTGATGATGCTGTGATTTGGTTTATTGTAATTTGCTATATGATTTTTGGATTATGCAGCTGATCTGAAAATCAAGACAGTGAATGGGATGATCGCTTATGACAGAAAGTAATTTTGTGATCAGAACATTTAAATCCCTATTTTATTGTTTAAGTTTTTTAAAAACCAGATGTCTAGAATGTGAATTTGTTTTCTCTCTCTTTTTCTCTCTCTCTTTCTCTCTCTGTCTCTCATTCTTGCCCTCTTTTGTGATCGATTTAGCAAAAGATTAGAAAGCTGATCTTATTGTCACAAGGTAAGCTCAGCCTTCCCAAGTGCAGTGTGGAGAGGGCTGCTACCCTCTGCCCCTTCCACCCAGAGTGCTATCTATTGTCTTGTGTGGAAAGGTGGAGAAGTATCTCTCACCTTTCTTGTCTCTGAGGCACATACCTCTCACCCATCTCTAGGAGATACTGGTTATGCTTGTCACCAAATGGAGTGACTTATTCTGGTCTTCTATACTTTTTGATTAAAATCAAGAGGTCTGTTGAACTTTATACCAGCCATTTAGGTCAATTCTGTTATCACAATTACTTCTTCAAGATGTAGAGCTTCCACCAGAATTGAGAAGCTTTATTTCTGTTTATGTATGAGTTTATTTTTGGAAGGGTAGTGTTCAATTTAGATACTTGTCAAACATCTGAGCCTTTGCAGGTGGAGAGAGGTATATGCCCAAGGGCACTTTAAAAATCAATGGGGGATGTAAATACAAAGGCAATGTTTTCAGATAAATAATAACATATCAGGCTTTGTAAATCATGACATCCCTAAAGATGCTCTGGGACAAATCCTATCTTTTTTTTTTAATACAAGCAAAGCACTCTGAATAGAGTGAAAGTTTTGCTTGTCTAAGAAATGTGGGTTTCAGTTGTTAAAATAGAGGGTCCAAATGTCATTGTTGTGCTTGATAAAATTTTGTACTTATTGTGTTTAAATTTGTCCTTTGGGGTTTTTCTGTTGTTTAATGTGCTTAAGAAAAAGACTTGGTGGGTTATATTTTTAAAATAATCAGTCTTTAGCTTTTGTTTTAGAAAATTAAATTTTAAATAGAAATATTTGATGAAAACATTTCAATACTAAAATGCAGCAACTTCTGAAAAATAAATATATTTTGCTGTTAAATTTAACTGGGATCCCTGATCACTCTAAGGAGAGAGATTGATGTTAGTAAAGACAGTATTTTAGATCTATTTGAAATTGCTAATCTATTAAGCCTACTTTTTCTTACTCCAAACTTGCAATGTACAAGAAAGAAGTTATCATAACCCAAATTTTCTAAACCATGTATTCATTTTAAAGTAGATCTTTTTTATATCTTAAATGCAGTGTTTACTGTATTTTATAAAGGTATGGTTTTTTATTTGATTTTAGGTAGGTAAATTTAGACAAACAGAAATTTAGACACAGAAAGTTTTTGTTCTTTGATCCTATTATTGTATATCTGCTATAAGGTCCTCTGTGGCTGAAGGTGGCTGCATAGCAACCTTAAGGTAACAGTCATTGAGAAAAGGGTGCATGGGTTTGCTTTTGTCCTACCACTGAAGAATTTTGATCTTAAAAGAATTATTTTAATGGGAAGTTTCCCTACCTGCACCCTTACCACCAGCACCTACTCCCAGATCCTGATGATGTCGGGAAATGCTTGCTTTTAGAAGGGCATAATTAGGAATGAATATGCTTATTGGATGCCTACTGAAAGCTGAATCCATTTTAAAATGCTCTCCTTTTTCTCACCCTCCCCACTCCCTGTACACCTACCCCCTTCCCTCTTATTTTCCTAGACACAGTGCCAACATAAATCTGCATCGTAAACTGTTGACCAAAGAACTCGATGACATGGGCCTGGACTCATCGCAGCCCTCCCTTAGCAAGGACCTCCGGGATGAATTTTTGGTGAAGATCTATGGGGCTCAGCACCCCCTGGGGCTCGATGTCAGGGAAGATGCCTCCTCTCCCGCAGGCACAGAAGACTCCCACCTGAATGGGTATGGAAGAGGCATGGCAGAGGACTACATGGTCCTTGACCTGAGCACCACCTCCAGCCTCCAGTCCAGCAGCAGCATCCATTCCTCCAGAGAATCTGATGCAGGCAGTGACGAGGGGATTCTTCTTGATGACATTGATGGGGCCAGTGACAGTGGGGAGTCGGCACACAAGGCTGAGGCCCCAGCCCTCCCTGGCAGCCTCGGGGCTGAAGTTTCAGGATCTCTCATGTTCAGCACCCTGTCTGGGAGCAATGGTGGGATCATGTGCAACATTTGCCACAAAATGTACAGCAACAAGGGGACTCTGAGGGTGCACTACAAAACTGTGCATCTGCGAGAAATGCACAAGTGCAAAGTCCCGGGTTGCAATATGATGTTTTCCTCTGTGCGAAGCCGAAATCGGCACAGTCAGAACCCTAATCTCCACAAAAACATTCCCTTCACTTCAATAGATTAGTCCCAGAATGGACACTACAAATGCCAGCTCTCACCAGATGGCCTACATGTTTGAACTGCCTAGTCAGTGTGCTTCCGTACATGGCCAGGGTGTGTATGTATGTGCATATGTATGCCTGTGTCCACACACATGCACACACACACACACACACACACACACGTTTTCTTTAGATAAAAATGATAAACACTAGGTGCTTTTGAATTTTTTTCCTTTATAGGTATTGGAAGGGGGAGTCTTTAATTTGGGGTTGAAAACAAAGGACCCCTTTAAACACACATACACATGCAAAGCATTCAACCAGCCCCAATTTTGATAGAGTAATTCTTGGTCTTCTCCAAAGAGACAATTTGTTGTGCCCATGACTGTTGCCTGCAAAACAAACAAACAAAACAAAAACAAAAGGGAGAAAAAGAAATGAAAAAAGAAACAAAAAGGAACTTCTTACCATTGTCTTTTGTGAACTTTAAGATTTTGAGAGAATCTTCAATTAAAGCATGGCAGATTCACTGTAAATATTTAGCCTTGAGAGGCAAATGATGTAAAACAATTGTATTGATGGTTGTTTAACTCTTTTGTTTAATTTTGACAGTTACATCCAGCTGTTAGATATGCAGGAAAAAACTAGTTTGCTGGCTAGCTCTATTCATTTATGTTAGCATTAATGCACATTTTTTTAAAAAAGAAGAACATGGTCTTGTTTTTACTACCTGTTAGATGTAGTGATAAAGAGGTGCTGGCATGCTTTACAGCACAGATCTGATTTTTTAAAATGTCCTGTACTAGTACATAAATCCAGTCAAGCACTTTTTTCATACACTACGAGGGGATGTGTAATATCCATGCTTCTTTTTTATCCTTAAACTGTTGCCATACTTCAGTAAGTGTCTTTAAAAAAAAATCCACTTGTATAAAAACGGTCTGGTCAGTATAGGGCACAAATGCCAAACAAAAGTATTAGTGTTAACACAAAACTGCCAACTTTGCACAAGTTTCCAGAAAAGAAAATACAATTAGTCACTCAACATAACCACAGGCCAATTTGTTGGCCACCAGAAAACCGCTTTTTTGAAGGAGAAAAAAAAGAAAAAGAGAAAAAAACCTTGGTGATTCTTTCAAGTGCTGAATGTTATTAGAATCAGCACTACATCCTTCTTGCATATATGTTAAGTTACATAAAAGGAAAGCAAAATTATGTCATGTGAAACAGCCAAGGCGTTTCTTCTTTAGAGGCAGGATAATATTTCAGGATACAAAAAGCCCAAGTTATTCACTATGGAACAATGCTGAATACAGTAAAGGCGTTGAACACGCATTTCCAAGGCCCTCACCCTTCTCCTTTGAAGAGAAAGACAAAAGCCTGAGCTGGGTTGATCTGTTGTATGGCCATCTCATTTGTCACGATTTTGCAGTGGCAAATGACGCAGGCCTGTTTGACAGACAAAATCAAAAGCCCTGCTTCACAGCAGCAGTACTTGGAAGCTCAGAACACACGTGCTGAACTTGAGTTGAGCAACACTCCTTCCAAAAGGCAGGGGAAGGGGGGGTTACGATAGAATCTCACTGTGTAGTGTTTTGTGTTTCCCCACAGAGAGAAATGAAAGCAAGCCTGAAACCAAGCAATTGAGAGTGAGAATGAGGGGGGAGGCTCTGCTCCAAACCTTTTTTGTTTTGTTTTGTTTTGTTTTGTTTCCGATGTTTACACATGTTGCCTGAGCTGGTTAACCACATCGGCAGCCTCAGCTACCACAACATACTGACTAAATGATGATATTTACTCAAGTTCAGGCTGCAGCCAAAACCGTTAGGGTGTGCACTGCAGACTGGGTTTTGTCTTTTTTTTTTTTTTCCTTTTTTTAAGGGGGAGGGAACAAACAATGTTTTATCAAACAGTACCTAATATAAAGAGAATGTATTTCTTTTCTGCATTTAATGGCCTCAGACATTTCTCTCATCAGTCTAAAAGTTAGATAAATTCCTTTGTTTCAACTTCTCCTGTCATTTCCATTTCTCATGTTTTTATTTTTTTTCTATGTTCACATCAGCATCCACTTCCGTTAAATTTGCCAAAGGAAACTGTTGATATGTTTCTGTTGTTATTATTCTTGTAGGAGTTATTGTACCTCACAGTATTTATTGTTCCCAAAAATAAGCATCATCCTTGGGGATCCAGTATTTTTTATTTGTGAAGATTTCAGAAACAGTAGGTTCTTAAAGATAAGCTAGATATATCTAGGGGCTTTATCTTCACCTCCTTGTGAACATGCGTTGGGATTCCTTTGATTCTTCATTTGTTTTACAGTGAGGAAAGACCAAAAGTATTTGCAGTACTAAGAAACTATATCAAACACTATTTCTGTTAAATGACAAATGTTTACGGTAAAAAGCTGAGGAATTAGTAATAACCGTTTTTGTTTTCTTGTACCTTTGAATTCCCCAAAATCTTAATTGCTTTATTTTGGTGTTATGTTAAATTGAATAGACAGAGATGTTTTCCTTTGTTTTATACCATATAAGACTCTGTACAGTATGTTTGTGAAAAATTGAACTAGAAAAATGAACATTTGTTTGCAAACATTTTGGTCCTCACAGCGTTCTCTGTATTGCGCTATTGCCCATAACCAAATGACTAGATTGAAAAAGAATGCAAAAATATTTTGACTATCTCAACAGAAATTATGGAAACTAGCTTTTAGAGTGGGTAGATTTAAGGAAAGTAATATGCATTTTTATTTCAGTAACTCTTACAAGATACACTCCTAGTTGAGATATGAGAATTCATCTACAAGATCACTGTTTGGTCTGCTTGATTTAATGCCAAGTACAAAATTCAGATGGCCCCAGTGAGTGAATTAAATAGATGCCAGGAGGTCACATCAGCAAATGAGCCAGGCTTAGTCAGAGCAAGTGTTTTGTTTCTTGCCCAGAGCCAGGCTAATGTCTATAGTCAGTTAGCAAAGTCCAGAAGGAGATAGATTCTAGAAACAGAATTTCCCTTGCTTGCAAACATGAATACAAGACCCTGGTTTTTGTCAGCAAGATGGCACTAAGTCCTGGGCAGCTGACACTTCTTAAGTGTGTCCCTTACTTGCTACTATTTTGTGCCTCAAGTTCCCAATTGTTATGGTGACCTTCTCAACTGAATAGCATTTTTCAATACAAAGCCTCTTAAAAGGGACTAGGGAGGTGGACAGATGTGGTGTATAAAATTTAAACTCATAAAATGTACAAATGTTACGGTCCCGAAGTGTTGCCTGTTCTTGGGTATGTCAGAATGCCATGTTTTGACTTAACTGCACTTCTCCTGGAGATGGTGGCTTTTGTGCAAATGGAAGGATAAGGAGATCAACGTTCTGATCACAGAGCTCTTCAACCTGGCCTGTTCTTTCTCATTTACTTCTTCCTAGAAGTTTCCTGTTTCTCTTCAGTTTCTGTCTAGCTGCCTCCCATTTCATGCTAGCTGCAAATTACTAGGGATATAGACTTTCATCCATGTATGTAGCCTTTTCCCATTTGATTGATTTTAACCAGACTTTTGTCACAGGTTCAAAATTAGGTAATATTATTGTGCATGCACTCTAGCTGATGTTGACGTTTACTGTTTTGATCATTTTAAGCTACATTTTTGTAAATATCAGAAAGGCTCACTCTGCCTTCAGGAATATCTGCATGCTATGGAGGTGGAAGAAAGGGAGCAAGAGAAAGGATAGATCATAAGTAAGTTGGTTTGGAAAATGTGATTTTAAAGCTTGATGTTCTGCTAGTAATTGTATTTAAAGAAACCAACCCAGTGTAACTCATTCAAGGTCTTAATTGCAGCTGCCCTGTTCAGCCTGCTGCTTTTGTAAGATTTAAAAGTGTGAACACTTTCTTTCCCAATATTGACTTTGTTTTTTAAGTGTTTTTAGTACAAGGGTGCCACTGTCCTTGTAGTGATTTATTTGGCTATTTGATTTCTAGACTTCCAGTAAGAGGAGGAAGACACTGAAATAGTTAACAGCCTATTAGTATATGCCTTTCTTTTTGAAAGGAAAGGAAATATATATGTATATGTGAATGGACTGGTCCAAAGGCATTTTCCTCATTCAGGAGAAACTATGCGCTAGGTTCCCACCCAATCAAATGGAACCTTTTCTCACACACCAGAAGTACACCAAGAAAATGAAAAAGGAGCCTTTAATAAATACCACTTAACAGCTTCACCTGACTACTCCTGATTTGCTTCTGGTCTTCTAACATTGGGTTAGGTTGAGTAACACAGTAAATAGAATCCAATTGTCCTAAGATGCACTGCTCTTGCTATCAGAAAGAACTAGATGGTCCAGGAGAGAAGCTTTCATCCTGGGGACACACCCTATTTTTAAGAGTTGCTTTTTAAAAGTATGACAACTTTTAGTTTAGAAAGAATCTCTTAACCTTTCCCCAAACTGGAAATAGCTAAATTTGGGGGAACGGGTTTCTTTGCCTCTTATTCTTTGTTTTTTAACAGGATGGTTCCAATGGAGTAAGGAGGATAGTAAAAGCCCAAAAGACTAGTTCTTCTCCTGAAAGACTAGTTCTCCTAAAGGGTTGGCTCCCGCTCTGGTTTGAGGATAGCTTGAAAAGAAAAGTTAATGCACACAGAGTATATGTCCAAGAGTAGAGTCTGGTATAGCTCTCTCTGGCAGTGGGTGATGATATATTCATGTTGTGTCCTACAGAGTTCCAGTGACCAGGTGAGTTGAACATGAGCAAGTTAGAACAACCATGTGGTAGCAGAAGTGTGAGGTGTGAGGTAATTTATTTTTGCATTGGTTTTGAGTTAGAAGGGATGCTGAAGTCCCTTTAGAGCAAAAAGATAAAAGAGGTCACTTAGGTTTTAAAAATGGCCAGTGGTGAAACCTACTTCAAATCATGAGTGGATTGTAGCTATGAGTGGAAAGTACCAGCATGGAGCTGTCCCATCGCCCATCATTGCCTTCATTTGTTGCTGTAGCAACACACAGAGGCATGATTATGATAGCACTTGGCTGTTGATCTCTTGACCAAAGCTGGAGCTCAATACACTGAACTATGAGGCATAGAAGTAACTTCTGTTTCTGTATTTTCCCTCGGAGCCAAAACAGGCGTGCTCCTATTACTACTAGGACCATATTTGATCTGTCCCAGAATCATTTCTGGGCTTCTTGTAATTGCAGAATTTCTCACCATAAAGATGATTGTCCAGTAGTGTCACGGCTACAGCTGTAATGCTGCCCACTGCATCATCTGCCGCTGCTCTTGCCCACACGCCCTTCCAAGCCAGTGTCCATTCATTGTCATCCTTCTCACACCTTGCACAAAATTATTTTTATAGTTATTCTGCAATAACTGGACGTCAAATACTGTCTTTGGGCATTTGTTGGAAAATTCAAATGCCCGATAACAGAGGGTTTAAAACAACTTCTCATTTTTACAAGTACACTGAATTGGATCAGCATTATTGCTCATTATAATGCTATATATATTTTTGATGAAACACACTATAGTTGTCATAAAACTATACTTACTCTTCTCCTCTAAAATGTTGTTATAAATTCATTTGACCTTTACTGCAGGGGGAAAAGTGTCTTTTATATATGGTATTGGAACAAGGCTCCATTCATAACAAACAGTGGAACATTACAAGAGAGGAAAGGAAAAAGCTAAGTCTGAGCAGTGCAAAGCTTCAGTTCAATTTCACCTCATATCTTTCTAATAACTTACTCGTCACTTTATCACCTTCCAGTAATGTGAACGCTGCTGACAAGACTGTCACACTAACAGCAGACAACACCCTCTTTGCGTCACCCCCCAGCTCTCCTGGCTACTTATTGCACTGGCCCTGAAGGGACACAAACTAATAGTGTGCTTTCCAGTTCAGCACTTGGCCATCAAATATAAAAGGATGCGTAATTGCCTGTTTATCCCTTGTGAAGAGGAAATTGAGTACAAGGGCTAGGTTTTCTCACTGAGTTCCCTGATGTATATACACATTCACAACTCTCCCCCCCTTCTCTCCCTCCTTCCCCTTCTCTCCCTTCGCTCCCTCCCTCCTGGCTCCCCCCACCCCCCACACACCATTTTCTCCTCTTTTTCCTCTCATATCTTTTTTCCCCTCTATGTCTTTGAGGGGCCCTAAGTGGCTTCTACTTGCCCTCTCCCTTTATTAAGTGCACAGTAACAAGATGGCTTCTTACATCAAGGGTCACAGAGAGGTGTTGTCAGCTTTGGAAACTTACATTTCACAGTTAATGTCCATCCATTTGGGAAGTGTTGGGTGTGGCTCTAAGGAGAGCAAAGTCAGTAGCATAAGTACGATTAGATGTCCTATAATCTATAAGGAAACAATATTTTCTTCTCCTTCAAAAGGTGCCATGTGTTGTAAACAAACTGGTTAAATACAGTGGTTTAAGAAAAACACATTGGGGTGTTTCTAAGTCTGCTATCAAACCTCTGTTCTAAACATACACTGTATCTTTTGGTAATGTATTCCAAATCCATTTTGAAGGATGACAGATTATCTTCACCTTGACAAACTGGACTAATAACAATCTAAAAAGGCACCAAGCTTTTAACTTTAATATTAAAACAATGACTGTCCTCATACGAAAGGTAATTTCTCCACATGGGAGAATTAGAAAAAAAATAGCTTTACAAAGTTGAGAGAGAGGAAGATCAAAAGATACAAAGGAAATATACAAAGAATTATTAATAAATTCCAAAATACCTTGAACCTAAGTAAGGTGTCAGAATCAGCTGCTATTTCTGTATAGTAATGTAATTAAGTGATGGTTGAGAAAGTGGCCCATTAGTGACTAAATGAAGTGGCAAGATCTATTTGTGCACCAACCCTAGGGGGTTGGGGGACACTAGGCTTCCTCCCAACTCTCTTGCAGCAGTTCCAACAAAATAGTTTATTCCTGCTGTGGACAATTACATTTAAGTCAACCAGATAAAACACGTGGAGATGTAACTTTTGATATGGGCTTTAACAAGGAAAGAAAAGCAGCAGGTTTAGAGATAACATAATAGAACTATGTTGACAAACCTGTGCTAAATAATCTCAAAGCAGTCTGAGGACTGGAAAGAAAAGCACTTTGATCAAGAACTTTGGGTTAGAGAAAAAGGCAGTTTGTTGGTCTGATTTAAGTTCCTTGGTATGTATATATTAGCAATCATTTATCAGGAATCTTCATAGAATCTTAATTTAAAACTCAGTTGCCAAAACTGCACAAATTCTTCTAGAGTTGACATTAGCCTTCTCCCCCTAACTCTTAACGAAGATGCTTAAGAACATTTCCTAGAGTCTTGATGCTTTATTTAGCTTTCTTTAAAGGAATCTTAGGGGGAAAAAAGAGCAGAAAGGGTTATTTTAACAAAAATGGAGAAAGGTAGATAGTATAATACTATATTTCTTGAAGAGAGAGACAGAAGAGAATCTAAGTGCTATACCTAGATTTTATAAGGCTTCCTGTTGCCAAATGTGATGTTGGGATAATGTATGGCTAAGATGGCAAATCCATCTATTATTAACTGGCTCTGCCCACCTCTATTACTGAATGCAAGGATTGAGAGGT